CTAGTGGAAGGAATCTAAATATTATGTCCATAATTACAAATTGCGTAATTGTATAAATTCCTTGTATGATATATTTGGCTGCAATAAAGCATGTGTGTGATCTTTTAATTAGAATATGCTTTATTATGGAATTTGATTTATATGCAATATATGGAAATGGTAGAGGCTTATGAAAGACTATGGTGTAATTGCCTTGGTGTCAAATTGCAAAACTTAAAAGAATAGCGCGATTGTTTATTAATGAGAATTAAGCATTTTATTGGTAGAAAATAATGTAGAATATTATGAAATATTCTAGGATCAATTTTGATGATGGAAAATGAATGTCTTTCTTTGTTAATCCATATGATTTACATGGATGTACTAACGTGAAAAATGTGGTTTTGAAAGGAATAATTGATGTTCCTTAAAATTGTTAATCCATATTGGACTTGATGTCTCAATGATGTTTATATTATTATGGTGTGACCATCTATCTTTACATAATCATTATTATATTAAATGAGGTCTAAAAGGACCTTTAATTGTATTAATTTGCAAAATTTATAATCTACTCTAAATGGCTTGCATAATCCTATATTTAAAATATGATTATGTTTACAATGAGAATGACAAAGTGATCTGTGGCAATTATTATTAACATTAGTCGAGTTTAACTATATGAGTCATATGTACTTGTAAGTTGAGTTTGTCTAAATGAAAATCATCATTTGGTGACGAGAATTAACTCGCTTAATGACTTGAAGTTGGAAATGGTTCATATGTTTGGGATGATAATATTGGAAGAATGCCAACTACTCGTTGAAAGTGTATGAATTTCAATAGCCATTTCTTTTATTGGAATATGAAAATGGCATGATAAACTAGTTGGTTGAATTCATGTCTAGTTGAAAATTATATTAACTTTGGTTGATAACGATAGCCTCAATTAATTTGTGTTTGCATATGAGTAATGTTGATATCCTCAATTAATTCTGGGCAATTAAGTAAGATGATCTTATGTAAGATTATATTTGCATAAGAATATGACAAATGTGATTTTGTCCAAATGTGAATAAGGTGAAACGTGTACCCTATTATTCAATATGATATAATGCTATCTTGTGAAAGTCATAAGTTGTAAATGATTGGAGAAATTGCAATTCTTGTGAATTAAAAAAACTAGTCTTCTTTACTGATTGAATATGACTCAATCGTGGAACAAATTGAGTTAGTCTATGCTTGGAAAAGTATTGTTGGTCTATGAGATGACCTAGATCAAATTATGGGATCAAAATTAAAGATAGTTGGATTAAAGCAAATTGCGACTTAGCAACCATTATCTAAAAGTACTTAGATTGCATATGTATTCTTAAATAACGAATTGTGGGGATAAGTTAATTTAAAAAATTATGATTCCCTAAACCTTTCAATCATAGAAAGAAATCTGTGAAGGAGAAAAGGTAAAAAGTCGTTATATAATTATAAGGATGATATACACTAAAGTGGATGAAATGGGTTAAAATTGATTACGGCATTTGCAAGTTCAATTGGAATATTTAAAGAATATTCATGCTATTGAAGATTATTGTAATGCTTCAATGATGAGAAGAGAATACCCATGTGTGAAATCTACTAGTAAAAGTGATTGACTAGCGTAATAACTTGATAAAAATCTTTCAATTGTGTTTGATAAGTTATATCTATCAAATGAATCGATCGTGAGCTTGCTACATTTGATAAGATACTAAATCACTATAATGGAAATTCAAGACATATGAGTCTTAGACGTAATATCACAAGGATGGAATAATTTCTGAAAAGACTTAGCGGATCATTTAATTAAGCCTCTAAATGTAGATTTAGTGGCGTCTAGTTCAAGTATGATGGGGTTGAAACTCCTAAACTTCAAAGGTCCGTCAATGACGACAACCCTACCCGTCATTACTCAAAAGGTAATCCATGAGTTCAAAAGGTAGCAACAATTCATTCGATATGTGAATAGTTGCAGTATTATTTAAATCCGCGATAACCCTATCCTAATTAAGTAATGCTAGTTGTTAGTAAAATGAGGGTTGAGCTTAAATCTCTTACTGAAGTTCAGTGCTAAAATACAAGTATCTCTAAAAGTAATAAAGATACCGGAAGAATTTCACCTAAATGAACTTCGAGGTGGTACCGCCTTAATAGAGAGTTGAAATTTCTCTCTTCAAAGTTCGTTGAATAGGATGAATGCAAGGTCATATTAGCGTTAAGCGAGTTGAGGAACTTGAGAACACGTGATACTTATGTGTGTGTTCTTACCGGTATTGTCACAAGGAATAATTGGTTCAAAACTTCTATGCTACCTCTAATTTCGATTTTACTTTGTTTGATTACACTCTGGTTAGATTCAAATCGAAAGATATCTAATCTTTATACATAAGTGTCGTCATTTTGAATATGTGATCATATTGATTTTGAACAAGTTGAGGATTGTTGAATATTTGTTCAAAATCAATGGAATGATAATGAGTTAATTGTTGGACTCAATTGTGGAATCAATGGTATCAAAAGAAATTGAAAAAAGGGAAATTTTGAGCTTAATTTTGTACGTACTGGAGATGTGTTTTGGTTAAAATAGAATCAAATTTGCTTCTAGTATGCGTACGCAAGATTTATACTATGCGTACGCATAGTGTTAAAAAATTACCATTCGCTAGTTCTTCAATTTGAAACTTGGGGACCGCTTTGGATTAAAAATTGCCACTTTTTATCACGTTTTGGCACCATTTTGTAGTGTATTGATTGAAGTTTATAAATATGTGATGAATGATCAATACAAACATATAGAAACATTGAAAAACATTTTGAGATCCACATATCATTCCACACTGGATCCAACTATTGATTGACATTCATATTCGATATCTTCCTTTGTGTTCATAAAGTTTTGGAGTATTGCACTCGTACTTTAATGTTAAATTATTTACAAAGCTTGATATAATCATACTAACTGTTTGCTAAAATCCTTAAATATCTCATTCAATCCCAAGAGGGGACAGTGATACCACGTTTGAGCCTTCATATTTGTTTTGTTCATCTTCTCTTTTCTCATCTTCTTGATATTTTAGTTGTTTGTTTCTTCTCCATTTTATCCGGGTGATGATAATTTCCCAACACAGCATAGAAGATTTAATATTAAAAAAAAAAAAAAAGAAATTTTATTCGTTTAGCAGGTTTGGCTAAGCTTAAAGTTTATCTATAATCTATATATAAATAAATAGATTTTAAAATAGATAGTGTTCTAATCGATCAAACTTTATAAAAAAAAAAAAAAAAAAAAAAAAAAAAAAAAAAAAAAAAAAAAAAAAAATAATAATAATAATAATAATAATAATAATAATAATAATAATAATAATTACTTTGAGTTGGTTATAAGCATGCAAGGGGATACCTTTTTCTTTGTAGTACACAAACCTGCTCAATAAGAGTTATTTCTTAATAACTTTTTATATATTTTTCTACTTATCTGGACATTCTTTGTAGTGAACCCGGATATGCTCTCTCAAATTTGTTGTCTCGTTGACTATTGTCCCTAGAGGTGGGCATTTTTTCTTGGAACTGGTCCAAACCCATTAGAATTGATCGATAAGTTTTGATTTCTCTCCTAAATGGGTCAATTTTAGGACAATGCATTGAGAACCAATTGGTTATTGTCCTGTTCTTGGTACTGTCGTAAGAAATAGCAGTGAATTCAGTTATTTCGAATTTCTTTTTTTACTTGCACCAAGGTGTACTAGATCCCAAAATTATCTCAACTTAAAATTTCATTTTCCATATGCTTTTTCTTCTTTCTTATAATGGGTAATCAAAAATGAAGTCTAAATAATTTTATAAATACTTTACAAATTCATAGTATTAATACAAACCAATAGGAAAAATATACTTTTAGTTCAATATTTCATAAGAATTCAAAATTTTCATTGTTTCCAAAGTGATCTACCATCAAAAATCAAGATCCTCGATGATTACTAAAGATAATTAGATTATTGTTATACGAATTTTCTTGAAAAGAATTTTTCAATCGAGATTTTACCGTTTATGCTGCGTTTCATAATATATCTTTTTTTTTCCCACCTTTATGAGTTGACCTTGAATTTTGGATTGAATTTTTGTTTGTTCTCTTGTTCAATTAATTCTTCTTTTTGTGTGTGTTGTTAGATTAAAAGAATAAGAAATGATTTCATACTCTATTTTTGTCTTTTTTTTTTCAATTGACAAGTAATTTTATATTTTATTTTTATAATTTTTTATATAAAGAACTAGATCGGTTCGAATCGAAACAAATTGGTTCGGCTCCGGTTCGGTTCTATAATTGGATACGGAATCAATGGTTCCATTTCTAATATTTTCATTGGTATTCGAATCCTTTTGGAAATGGACGTAATTGGACCGCGTCCACTCCTAATTGTCCCAACCAGGGGTGAACACATAGAATTACGTAAAAAATAATTGAATTTGGATTAAAAATTATGGACTAAAATTATGTGGATTTTTTTTTAATTTTAAAAATTAAGGATCCAGTGGAGGCAATTGCACCCACCTTAATAAGTCCATTCCTGATCCCAATATATTTTTGATACATCATCTCAATAAAAAGATGTCAAAAAACACGTTCTTTATAACTAAACATATTATTAGAAAATAGAAATATATGAAAATATAGCCCTTGTTTAATGGGGATTAAAATAAAAAAAATTAAATTTTTTATAAAAATTGATAAAATGTGCAATTAAAAAATTATACGTCTCATTAAATATATGATTAAAATTAGTTGTTAACTTTGATTTAAATTAAAATTTCAAATTTAATTTCTACTTTAATATTTAAAATGTAACAAGAGAATCTCAAACTAAATATGCTGCGTCAACGTCGTATACTCCGCCCAACTTGTCTGATCTACATTTTCTTTCATAGAAAAATATTCAATAAAACGTCAAAAAGGCAACAATGTAGGAAGTAACGACGACTTAGGTTGTTAACTAAGGGCACTCTCTTTTCTTCATCTCCAACAACTATTTAATTTCTATTTTTTATGTTTGTTTTTCTACAATCCGACTGTTCAAACTGCCCATCAATAAAATAAAGATTGTGGGCCTAAACGCATAAAGCTTCACATTTGATCAACATCTTTTTTCCTACTTAATTTTTGTCTTCTTTTAGATTATTTCTTGACCTTACCGACTGCAACTATGTCAGTCACCGCCAGTACACCGGCCGTCCGAACATTCTGCATCACACGATCAGCTAAAATGGTTTCACGGCCAAGAGTTGTAATGGCCGTGGGATCTAACACCATTTCTGGAGCGTCAATTTTAACAAAGTTACAGAAAGACTGTGCTACTCCTTTGCCAGTTTTGCGCCACGTGGCAGATGCCATGGCTGATGATATGCGGGCCGGGCTTGCCGTCGAGGGTGGTAGTGAGCTGCAGATGATTCTTAGCTATGTTGACGCATTACCCACGGGGTATGGTTTGTGCATTAAGATTTCATATTTTTAATTTAATTTTAAGTTGTTTTCGTTTTCGATTAAATTTGTGTAATGTTGTATTTACCAGTTTGCATTGATTTATGTTTTTCTTCCTCTTATTTTAGTCTAAATTTATTGGTGAACTTATTTTTTTTTGGCCATGCTTAAAATTTAAAAGTGTTACTTGGCTACTTATATACTTGATTGGAAGAAAATTGAAAAAAGAAAGAAGCTTTAAATCACAATGCTAGAGTGCTTAACATTGACATCGTAGAATTAAGTGGACCGATCAAGTAGCTGCATATGGATTGATATGAAACAAATTATATGAAATCACCTCGTCCAAAAGTTGTGGATCCATGAAAGATATGGTTTATATTGGTTGTTTGACTTTAACTTAGATTAAAATCAGATTTTAATCCAAACTGAACAGGCTATTAATGTTTTTCTTTTAAAATATGGATGGTATACTGAGCACAAATAAAAGTAGATGTGTGCGAGAATTGTATTTTTCTAATTTATGGATAATGATTAAATGACATAATGCTGTGAAATTGATGAAGCTTGATTGTTATGTCCTTTAAGAAACGAGAAGGGATTGTTTTATGCACTTGATCTTGGTGGTACGAATTTCCGAGTGCTAAGAGTGCAATTAGGAGGAAAGGAAGAACGTGTAATTTCCACAGAATTCGAGCAAGTTTCTATCCCGCCTGAGTTAATGTTTGGCACCTCCGAGGTAAATTTAGTAACATCAGTCTTGGCCAATTCTAGTTTATCTCTAATGTATTTGTCTGCTGATATACATATTTTTGCAACTTTTAGGAGCTTTTTGATTTCATTGCTTCTGTACTTGCAAAATTCGCACTAAAAGAAGGTGGAAAGTTTCATCTGCAGCAGGGAAGGACAAGGGAAATCGGATTCACATTTTCTTTCCCGGTGAAGCAGACCTCAATTGATTCAGGCATTCTAATCAAATGGACAAAGGGTTTTGCAGTATCTGGAACTGTTAGTATTTCTTCATGTTATTAAAATTTAAAGCTTCTAATTCATATCACTTCTGCTAGGCATATCAAAACTTCCCTTTTTATAGTTTAATGGTTTGTACTTCGGCTGCCACAAGTCCATGACTAATAAAACATTTTATAATTTGCCTGCATTTCATTACACAAAATCAGTAATTATTGTATTTTCTGAACTTGTTAATATTGTTTGAGAGGAGAAGTTCAAAATTCCTCTCTCTTGGGAGAAGGCATCAGGTCAATGTATAAAATGCAAAAATCATCATCTAAAGAAGATTCAAGAATTTGAGAATGTTTTTCATTTTATATAATTATTTCTTTTGCATTGCATTTTGTTTATTACAATTTTCTTTTGATTTTAACACCATAAGAAATATATTTCTCTTTACAGGCAGGGAAAGATGTAGTTGCTTGCTTGAACGGAGCTATGAAAAGGCAGAAACTAGATATGCGAGTGTCTGCCCTGGTACCCTCATCTCAATCTTCAGGGATTATGATAAGTCTGTCTCAAAATATATCTTGTTACTAGTCAAATTTAGAAAAAAATAAGTAAATTTTTTTTATTAAAAAGTAAGAAATATAAGATATCAGTACGTACGGAAACAAAAAAAATTGTAAAAGCAATTTTCTCATTTTCTTCTCAAACTAAGCCAAGCATGATCTTCTAGTGTAGATTCTTGCTTATCCTTGGTTTTCAAATTATGAAATTAGGCCTCTTCAGAATCTCAATTTCTTGGTTTGGACAACCCAAAGGTTTCTGATGATAATGTGTGTTGTCAAGTTAGGTCAATGATACAGTGGGGACATTAGCCGGAGCCAGATACTGGGATAATGATGTCATGGTTGCAGTTATATTAGGAACAGGAACCAATGCGTGCTACGTGGAACGTGTAGATGCTATTCCTAAATTTCAGGATCCAAGTTCAACATCTGGAAGAACGGTTAGTAGAGCTTCTTACTGGTTTACTTGAGATTTTGTAAATCAATTTTTATTTATAATTGTTATTGTAATTGGATTTTCAGATTGTGAACACTGAATGGGGAGCATTCTCTAATGGTCTCCCTTTGACTGAGTTCGACCGAGAAATGGATGCTGAGAGTATCAATCCCCGTGAACAGGTGTCTTCGAATCAATTATTTGTTATATGTTACCTTTTTATTACGCATGCATAGTATTCTACTCATATAGTAACTCAACTTCTCAATGGCTATATTAAATGGAACAGATATTTGAGAAGACAATTTCTGGTATGTATCTTGGTGAGATTGTAAGAAGAGTGCTGCTCAGAATGGCTGAAGCTGCTCACTTATTTGGGCACTCAGTTCCCGAAAAATTACTAATGCCATTTTCTCTAAGGTAGATTGCTTTTTTGACGTAGAAGTAAGACACAAAAAAGTAACCTAAATTTTACTCATTTTTAAGATTAACTAAAGTTGCTACAAAACGCATTTTTGAATACAATTGAGTAGGATTATGCCTTGTTTCTCTCTACTGTTTGCCAGGAGGAATTGAAATGCCATCTTCCACGAATGAGCATGCTAGTCACTGACAATTCTTTTATGAACCAATCCTGAATCTAATTCTTTTTCACCGCCTTATGATATCTTTTCATATCTACATCATGTGTGATGTGTTTGCTAACTCCGATAAAATCTGCTTACCATGGCTGTTTTAAGGCCATTATGTATTAAGCTTTCAAATATTTATTAATTTGTTTATGCTGATATGATCTGACTTGACAGAAGCTTTTGGCATCCTATTCACATGTACATACCTATATTATATATATTTTTTCCTTTGAAATTTAATTTGCTTAGGAAAGTACGTGATATCAAGTCTTGTAACTATATAGTTAGGCAGAAGGACAAGAAATATTTCCGGTAATACATCAGTCACCACAAAGATTACAGCCATCTTAGGATTTACAAATGTTTCTTATTTTTTCTTTTGTTTCTGATTATAATTTTCATAGATTCACATGTTCAATGTATAAAGCCGTCTTAGGATTTACATTCCTTCTTTCTCATAGAATTGCTATCTTATGAATCCATAATAGCTAATTCTTGAATAACATTCTACTTATCAAGTTTATTCACTCTTAAATGGTACTTTGTAGGACCCCCGATATATGTGCTATGCAGCAGGATACGTCCAAAGATCTTGAAGAAGTTGGATCTATCCTCTACGATGTTGCTGGGGTAACTCTCTTACTCGACACATCCCTTCATGTTATCGTATCCTTCTCTACTTATTCACAAGAGCGAAAATGCAAGAAGTCGAGATTCCAAGTGCATCACATTTCATCATCCATTTCTCTTGAAGCATCATGTTTCTGTTAATGAAGTTATTGTTGTCTCCGTCTGTGGATGTATTCCAAGTGCCATACCACATAAATTTCCTTGTGTCATTACTCTCTTTTATAATGTCTAAACCCAAATTTGAGGGCTTCGTCAAAAGGGCTACTAAAGATCTAGTTACAATGGTTATGAATGGCGGGGAGAGTTATGTAGCTCACCTCAAATTTATCGGGAATAAACATCGGTTTGTTGTTTTTTAAGCAAGAAAAAATTGGTCAAAAGTCATTTGCCAATTTTAGTCATAATTTTATGCTTCCCGATCTTGATCTCAGGTGAATTCCAGTACAAACGCGAGGAAGATTGTCATAGACGTGTGTGATACCATTGCAAAACGTGGTGGGCGCTTGGCTGGTGCAGGAATAGTTGGGATTCTCCAGAAGATGGAATACGATTCGAAAGGCCTCATCTTTGGAAAGAGGACTGTAGTGGCAATGGATGGAGGCTTGTATGAGCATTACCCCCAGTATAGAAGATACCTTCAAGAAGCTGTAACAGAGCTTCTCGGACCTGAAATCTCAAGAAATATAGTAATCGAACACTCGAAGGACGGGTCAGGAATTGGAGCCGCTTTGTTGGCTGCTACAAACTCAAAGTATGAACACGATTTCTAGAATTACAACTAGGTATTGATCTCATTTGTATTAAATTGATGAATAAGTCTATCTTGGAGAAGGGATAATTGTTAGAATTTTGTAGTGTAATTTGAATTACTTAGCAGTGTTTAAGGTTTTATAGTACCTAGATCTCTCACATTGTTGGTGCATTAGTTTGCATTGTGCTGACATTCTTAATAATGTATCATTACATTTTAGGGTGAAAATGGTTGATCAATAAATTATGAGGTTTGTTGAATTTGCTCGAAAATAAGATATGACCAACTTGTTAAAGGATAAGCTTCTGTTCAAACGGGTTAACCCTTCTACCGCCATCTCATCGGTCGAAGGCTTCGAAGGTGTGCCTCGACTGAAAGGGAGTAAAGCCCTTCTTGACTCTCAATACAAATATTGGGTTAGGGATGAGTAAGTACAAATTGATTAAAGCGATGAGAATGATTTTAGGTTATCCCTTCTACCACCACCCCCACTGGTCCAAGACTTCAAATGTACGCCTCGGCCGCAAGGGGGGTAAAAGCCTTCTTGACTCTCAATGCAATTATTGAGCTAGGGACGAGTAAGTACAAATTGGTCAAAGAGGCAAGAAAGATTTAAGGTTGTCCGACCAAGGGACAAGGAAAAGTATTATGTTCTATATTTTCCTTTGGTAGAAGTTGGGAAAGAAAAAGAAAAGAAAGATAAGCTTGAAAAAGGAGCAATTCCCTGCTTTGCAAGTGCTACTTTGGCAGCACCTGTACAGATAATTTTTTATTTTTTATTTTTCTAAGTATCCATTCACATTACGCCATGTGTATTCTGTAGAAAAAATCTGTGAAACTATTCTAGACGTATAGCATGATTCGAAAAAGAAAGGTCAATCTACCAAAAAGGACTGCAAATCGTTAGCTGGCTTTATTAGTGTTATTTGTATCAATTTCGATATAAAATTGAAGGGCCTAAAGTGGAAGGGGAACTTCGGCAGGAGTTCACCCAACTTCAATATGTTTTAATTTAATTATTCAACTTATAATTTGGTTTTGATTTATCCATTTCATTCGTGATCATTATCAAAATTAACGAAATTCATAACCTACTCTCGTAATTCGTGAACCAATTTTCTTTTTCTTTTCTTTTATTTATTATTTTTTTTAAAAATTTTTTTTTAATAAAAGTTGAATCTTCTATGGCAATGACATGTACATCGGACCATTTTGTCTACCAAATGACAATTTTCATTGTCAAGGTCATGAACTTCATCATCCATGTAACGAATTCTGTCAATTTGCTAACAATTACATTCTGAATATAAGCCAAATTGAAAAAATATTTTTTTTTAAAATCCAAATTAAATAACAATATAAATACATAAATAAGTTGGTCTATCTTCTCGTCCAACAATATTCAAAAAGAAAGGCCCATCAAATCCACCAAGAGCCCATCAAACCAGCAGCTTCTCCTTCAATCAGACAGCAACAGAATTCCAGTGAAGTGGACGCGAAGAAAAGAACCTCCCTCTTTACAACTAAACTCCACACATACTGCGGATTCAAAAGAAAGTATTTGTACTCATTTTGGCTTGTAATATTTGATCAGAAAATGGAGGATGGTAAAGGGATGACGATGATGATGAAAAAGGATGCAGAAATTGATACAACTGCACCCTTTCGTTCAGTTAAAGAGGCTGTGGTTTTATTTGGAGAGAGAGTTCTTGCTGGAGAACTCTATGTCAATAATCTTCAAGAGGTGACTACTCATGCATGCACATTTTTCCCCCCTCTTTAAATGCAGTTTCATATTAGTTTTTGTTCTATCAATCTATACGTACATATCTATGATGCATCGACATGGACACGTGTGTTCGACACAACATGAGTTGGATACTTTAACACTCGATTTTTCAAAAATTTACTAACACAGCATGTCGCCTACATATTGATTAATTTTTTAAAAATTCTTCATTTATATAATATAAATTTAATTTTATATTTATTATTAATTTTTCTTGTTGAAATCTTTTAAATATAAGTAGTTATTAATAAATATTAATAACTTTGTGTTAAAAATATATAATATTTCTAATAAAAAAAGAAAAATAATTATGATAGAGCATTTGAGGAGTGTCTGTATTCGGCACGTGTCGAATACCGACACAACTACTTTAATTGAAGTGTCCGTACAATAGAGGTATATATACATCATTTGCAAAAGATTAGGTTAAACCTGGATGTGTTTTTCGATAATTATTTATATTTTCATTTTTTGAAAGTACATTTTGAAATGAAATTATTTTTTTTTTTGTAACAAGCTGTAAGTATTTCACTTAGTAGATAATTTCAAAGTAAGATCTTCAGATATGGATTCTGCGTTCCTAATTATTAAATTTAAAAGAGTAATGAATCAATGACAAAAAAAAAAAAAAAAATAGTGTATCGCATGTTCGGTGCATTATTAAATATTATAATAATATTCTTGTATATGTATGTATATAATAAAAATGGACTGAAAAATTACAGTATAACACTATATCATACGTAGATCTTAAGCTTTTGTGGAGAATCAATCACTTTGCTTCCTGTCAAGAAATGCCCCTTCTGTGTATAGTATATCTTTAGGAAAATATCCTAAGAACAAAGATTCTTTCACAGAATTCCTACTGTGTCAACACCTGATTTGCAGACAGTTTTTTGGCTTTTTGTCGTCTTCCAATGAATCTATACCACATGAAATCTTGTAAATTTTTTGTGAAAATTTCCTTGTACCCAGGGGCGGATCGAGGATTGGATCTAAAATCGAGTTACAAAATTTCAAATCGGGCTACTATGTCGAAAAAAATTTTTACACATAAAAAACTGGTTTTTTTACCAAAAAATAAAAAAATACCTTAAAAAAAAACTATTTGGCCTAAGACGGGGGGCTACCGCCCAGCCCTCCCCCCCTCCGCCCAAATCTGCCTCTGCTTGTACCTGTAGCATTACTCATATCCTTAATCATTTGAATAAACAAAATTTTAAGTTTTACCTTTTTCAACAATCATTTAATATTTATTGGCAATGGATCATAAACCCTTTAGCCCACAACAACATCATTATCCACAAAATTTGATAAATAAAGTTTGTTTTGTGCTTATGATGTTCCAATGTGGCTTAGCGTTTATGTTTATGGTAGAAGGCTTCAATGTGTGTTTTTAGTTTCTCGGCTCCAATTTTGCACATTAGATTAAATATGATTGGACAAAATAATTGATAGAGAAGGCCTATATTCAAGTAGCGATTTATCTCGAAATATCATGTTATTTGCTAATAGACGCAGGACAGAAAAAGAGAATATGTCCCTTCCAAGGTCGGAACCATGAAAGCTGAGCTAGAGGAGACGAAGAATAACCTCAAAAGAGCGCACGAAGAAGGCATGTTAATGGCAAGTTGTCTCTCTTCAATGCAACAAGAGCTCGAACAGACTAAAAGAGAATTGAATCAACTTAAAGAACGCGAATCCCAAAAACAAGAAATAGATTTGGATATCGAGCACCTGAAATTTGTTGAAGATTCGACGAGATTTGAACTCAGAACCCAAAAGACTGACCAAAAAGTCGAGTTTCAAAAGAATACATACATGACATCTGTAGCACAAGTTATGATGCCACCACCTGGTGATGCTGCTGTCCTCGAAAGGCACCCTTCTCTCAAGAAGAAGAAAAAGAAACAGTTAATCCCATTTATTGGGAGGATTTTTCCCTGGAAGAAATCAGGTAGCTCTGAAATTGCTTGACCAAAATGCATGAAATTTGGGGATGTTTTACGAGTTTTGTAATATAATGAGATAATCAGACATAATTAAGTTTTTATCAATAAGGTTGTCTCGATAAAGTTCAAAAAATAAAAAATAAAAAATTATATTTTTTATATTCAATATTTTATATTTGTTGGGCTGATAACAGAGTATGGAAACATTCTTCCTTTGCAATGTGTCTATGATCAATTTTAGGTTAATTCTTTAATTTTATTTTGAATCTGATTTCTTTGAATTTCACTATTAGCATGTTGATATAAAGAAGATATATAACTGAGTGAAATTAACTTCAAATCATTACACGGCATGAAAAAGTACATAAGAAACTGTAATCGAACGTGAGATAGAAATTAAAAATTCAAATGAAAATTCTTTCATTCACGTGATGTGTGACAAGGTTAAAATTATTTAAAAAATATTCCTTTACTCCAAAAACCCAACGGTGATCGTCGAAGTTGTTACACCAGTGGCAGGGACAGGAATTTTGTCCATTGTGCGCACAATTTAACTAAGATTGAACATTGAATTTTTTGGACCTTAAATTATTGTATGCAATATGCATTCGTTCTTAACTAATCTATAAACTCAAAGTTCAATAAAACAATAAACAAAATGAAATATTTAATCTCAAGTGAAGTTCACCATGAATTTAATGATGGTAAAATATTAAAAATAAGGGTAATTGACACAAAACGTCCCTATCTTTCAAGTTTATTGTCGAAAACATCCATACCTTTTATTTTTTGACATTTTTGCCTCTACCTTCCACATTTCTTGGCACAGGAGGTCCTTTTGAGGATTTTACCCTCCATTGAAATGAAACAAAAAATAAAGAATTAATTGCAATCATAGTTCCAATTTTTTTTAAAAATTATAAATCAGTCATGAGGAAAGTTGAATGTACAGGGAAATAATCAAGAAATAGAGAAATTTTTTTAATAATAACCAATGGAAATGAAAAAATTTGAAGATTACGTGATTTTTGCCTCAAGCCTTCCATCTACTCTTTACAAAATAAAAATTGAGATTTATGATTACCCATTTTTGAAAATTTTCAATTTCATTGGCTATGGTTCAAAAATTTCTCTATTTCTTGATTATTTCTTTGTACATTCAAGTTTCCTTTTTTTGTGTGGGTAATTTTAAAATTTTTCAGTTCACAATAAATTATAACCGATTTGTAATTTTTTGAGAATTTGGGACTATTATTGCAAGGAGTTCTTTATTTTTATTTTTTTCTTTTCTTTTTGTTTTATTTGAATGGAGGGTAAAATCATCAAAAACAAATGAAAAGGACCTTCTGTGCCATGAAATGTAAAAGGTAGGGGCAAAAATGTCAAAAAATGAAAGGTTGAGATGTTTTCCCCAATAAATTTGAAATGTATAGGCGTTTTGTACCAATTACCCTAAAAATTATATAGTTTATAATTTTATCCCTATGATGTCATAAAACAAACTTTATTCTAATCTTGCATTAATATCCTTCATTTATCCCAAAACCCGCACCACTCTCTCTCTCTCAATGGCTTCAAGACTAGAAGAAGAACCTCCAGCAATCTTGCAATACCAGGTACGTTTCCATGTTTTTGCAAACAAAAATTATTCTCATTTTTTGCTTAATTTCTTGAACATCTGAGATGTTTTTAAATTTTAAACTCTTTTTGGCTTTTCAGAATTGGGTTCTTAAAAGAGAAATTGAGAATTCACAACCTCAAAACATCAAGAATCATAATTTCTTAATGACTTTTCTTTTAATGATTTGAAAAGCAACTGTCTTCTGTCTACTGGTACACCCATCTACGCAAGAAGGTATGTGCTCTAAAGAAGGTAGGGTGAGTCGCAGAAAACCACATAGCATCTAACTATATCACGAATTAATAGACAATTTTTGCTCACAAAAGCCACAGCATTTGAACCAAATATTTTGTCAAATGAAAATTGACACAAGCAATCTCTAAAAACAAAAGAGGGCGAATGTGTTTACTGGTGGAATAATTTTCCTAATTTGGTGGAGCAGTTCCACTCATTTCTCGGCAGTCCCCATCATTTTTCTTGCAATATTTAAAGTGCCAATCCCTCTTATCTTCCTCTTGTTGGATAATTTAGTGCTTTAAATTATCGAATATTTCATGTTAAATCATCAAGAAATGCAAGAATTAAAGCGAAAATATACCTAAATCGGACATGGTTAATGCAATATGAATTTCGCAGTGTAATCTTTCAAATCTATACGCAGTCTCTTTTTCTTCTCTGTGATGGAATGCAGTAGAGAATGAATAATACGTGCGTGTGATCTGGGGACCATAACCTATTTATATAGGGACGCCCTTTGACCTAATTCGGTCCATCATAGAATTAGGATTTGGGTCCGGTCTCTACACATATGTAAACCCATACTTTAATTGGATACATTAAAATCCAAAACCTAAGCCTTATTAGATCACTTTAATTGGGCTCAACCGAATTCGATAGCCTATAATTTAACACACAATTATTCACACATACAAACCCATCTTTAATTAAAAATCCTTACACCTCTTTCTATATTCTATATATCTTTTTCTCAAAATTTTTGGGCCTGAAGTTCAATGCAGGCACCTGCCTGCACTAGAGCTAACATGGATTCGCCCCTGGGCACTTCCTTGAATCTGTTTATTGCCTAATAAACTCATGAACATATCTTCTCATTGTCAGCTTCGAATAATTATTAAGTGGTTGGTGCCTAGACCTTAGCACTTTTGGTGCACAATATTGACACCGGAGGATAACAGAGTACAACATTTTACACATTTTATAACATTTAAATATAACATTCTTATTGATAATGCTATAAAATAAAATTGAATTTTATTAAAATATTATATAATAGCATTTATTAAAAGGCCAAGCCTAAAATGCTTCCATCCATAATTTACTCAAATATTGAATTCCACTATTTCTACCCTATTTTGGTCCCTCGCCCCCCCAAATATCGTTTGTTTTCCTCTACCCTGTTCCTTGTGTCTCCTTTTCCCTACCAATTCATTCTTTATTTTTTTTTATTTTTTTTTCAGCAAATCACCCTTCATCACCACGGATTCATCTTGAATTTTTCAACTTTTACCTGCTAATTCTATCCTTCTCTCTGTTATGAAATTTTTTGTTTAATAGTGAAAGGGAAATTTGAAACATCTACATTTTGAATCTGGAGAACGGGGAGATTGTTTCTCTTTCGCTTCCTTCAAAAAAAAAAAAAAAAAACTTTTTTGAGTTGTTACATCTACTACAACAAAGAACCCTCTACAAATCTGTGTGTAAATTTCTCTCAAGGTCCCTATATTTTATTTTATTTATTTTTTTTTTTTTTTTTTTGAGTTTGAGTTTATATGATTCTTTACTTTGTTAAGTGTTATATGTTATTCAGTGTTTTTATGGTGTATAGGAGATATCACATTTTGTGAAAAAATATTTTGCTATTTATAGAGGTGTGATGAAGGTAACTTGTGTTCTCCTTCTGATAATAATATTTTACCATTCTGTTATTAATTTTTCATTCCTTTCACTGGCTTTTGAATAAGCTATTAATTTATTTTGTTTGGATTTCATAGAAATAAGTTGTAATGTTTTTTTGCAGATTTCCTATTTCCATAAATTTCAAAGCTTTTTGAGATTTTGTTATCTGCAAATTTACTATGTTAATTTGCAAACTTCTCACTTTCTCGACAAATTTGGAAAATAAGAATTTCATAGCCTGATTGGCCTTGTGACTTGTTCATATAAAATAACGATTCAAAGGCTATTAAAGGAAATTTGAATCCTACTTCCTTGACAGTTTAGCAAAATAAGTATCGAGTCATGTTTTCTTGACAATTTCTTGATTTAAAGGCTTTGAGACCTTTGACGAATTTGACACCAGTAAGTCATGTTTTCTCTATTGCTTTTCATCTTGGAAAATTCTCCCATGTTCAATAGGTTCCCAAATGCATAAAAAACTTTAAAATAGTGAAATAGACAGTTGTTCCAATTACAGTTTAGAAATAATCTTCAATCAAATATACATATGTTTGATTTTGGATTCATTGTAATTTCCGATTTTAAGTGGCATTGGACACAAATATTGTTGACATAGCTTTTTTAGACACAAAATTTTGTCTTTGTTATGCACAGCTAGATATTGCTAAATAAGATGGAAATGTTTCGTCTCGAATAAAGGCATACTCCAATATACTACTAGGATAATATTTGGGTTCCACAAATTATGGATAAAGAATGGGTGCGTCCTAATAAGTAATTTGTATTTTGTCGTGTAATTTATGTATTTAACATTTTATAGTTAAATCTCAGAACATTGTCTTTTAAATTTGTTAGAGCCTCACAAGAGTACATAAAAAAGCATCAGAAAATTTTATCAACACTGCTCATCATAATTTAGACAATCCAGATAATATGTTATGTCCTTGTAGACGTTGTCGAAACTTAAGCCATCGATATATAAATATTGTTCATGGTCATAAGAGGAATGGATCTGACTTACACAAATTGGTTTCACCATCGAGAAAATCTAATAAGTAATGTTGATTCTACAAGTAAGATTGAAATATTCAACTTGTTAGAAGCTGCACACACAAATGAAGAACATAAAAACGATGCTTTTGAAGAGGATTTGGATGATGACATTAGTCGATTGCTGAAGGATATGGAAACTCCTTTGTATCCAAGAAATGAAAAATACAAAAAAAATTCTTCAATTGTGACCTCATATAAGCTTAAAACTATTAGAGGTTGGTCAAATAATAACTTTACGGAACTTCTAAACATATTATGTGATATGTTATCTAGAGGTAATGTAACTATTACATGCATACTCTGTATAAGAAAATTTCTTAAGACAATTTTGAAAATAGGACGAGGTATATGCCACATATGAAGTATTGATCATAAACAACAATAACGCTAGAACAAGAATTTAATTTGTTAGATGAATTTGAGATTTTATTCAACTATAATGGAGAAAGAAATTAAAATAATATTGTGTCTCTTGCAATAATTCTAATCTCAGTAATAAATCTAAGCCCTTGTTTGGTAAGGATTAAAATCAGATTTTTAGTAGATTTTGATAAAAGCTGATAAAA